TCCCAAATAACATTTCATATAAAATACAAAAAACAATATAAATATTGTAAATGATTACCCTTTCAGTAGCGCACAGAATATATAGCGGAGAATCAAAAATAGCCGATATTTTGGACAATTCTGTATTCGCTGATTTGATTTTGCAGTAAGTCTTACAGACATAACCCGTTCTGTTCTTTAAGTTATTATAATTTTTAAAAATTTTAAAAGTAAAAATTGGGTAAAGAGTCAAAATTAAAAACATCAAACAAATAACAAAATAAATGCTTACAAAATAGGCTTCAACCGCAGCCCTCGGATCTTCCATTTCTTGGATTTTATCCAATTTGGGAAACATCTGAACCTTACATAACGTGTGGTCTATTAATTGGGGAACCCTTCCGGTGACCAAACCTCGGCCATTGATCACCTCTAACATCAATGCAATACATATTATGGTAATAATTATAAGCCGACCTCCCATTGTAGTGATTATTTAATTGTAAAATATTATTTTAAAACTAATACTTACTTTAAATTCCATTAATTTATAGCTAATATTTAAACGAGAATTTCACCATATTATTAATTCGTAACTAGTTTTGTGACATTTAGACACAATCGCTAACAATTGATGTTTTATTTAATGAGTGTTTTGCACGTATTTAACGGATAATTAGAAGTTAATGGAGAATATATTCTGACGTTTAAGTTTTGAACACACAATTAATGCCATTAAATTTCTTACTTTATTAATTGCAATGTAATACAAGAATAATATTTATTAACAGTAAATTACATTATTATTAAATATTATAAACTATGGTAACAAATTCTTAAATTATTTGAATTATTTAAAGCTACATTACTAGAAATAAAATCAAAAATTTTAAACAAATCACACTTTCAAGTGTAGAATAATGTGGTAAACTTTATTTAACACCGATTGAAAGATTGAAAAGCACTAAAATGAAAAGCAGGGGGAGCACACGTATAAGATTTACATGTTTGATATAACATGCACACAATGTATTACTGAGGGGGCATTGTTATCTCCCTGCTTTTCATTTTAATGGGTTTCATTGTTTCAATCGGTGTAATAGGCTCTTGCGCTGGAGTCAAAGGAGCGACTGAAGTAAT